GCGCCCGCGGAGAGGCGGCGGCGGAGGCGCGCCTCCCGCTCGGGGCTGCCGCGGGTCCGGCTGCCCGCGTTCGCGGCAAGAGTGAGGCGGAACACCTGCGGAGGGACCGCGCCCCCAGCCTGCCCTCCTCCTGCCCCCACCGCGAGCCCGGTGAGGGATTCCTCCATCGCTCTCCCCGAGCCCCGAGCAGCCCTGAGCCTGAGCCGGAGAGGGGCGAACCGCTGCGGAGGGCAGGTCTGCGCTTTCAGACGTCTCCGCTGCCTAAGAAGCGAGCGGAGAAGTTGTTCTGAGCGCTGGAGGAAGTGGGGTCTGAAAAAAGATAGACTTCATAACTACAGGCTGGCGTTTAGGCTGTAATTTAAAACTGTCAACAAGCTAATCTTCGGTAATTGCTTTTTAAAGTGACTCTTGCCTTCTTGAAACGTTTCATGTAATTTGATGAGAATTTCATCTCAAAACTCAGTCTCGTAACTTCAGAGTCGCCCCACCTTACAGCTTCATTCACACTTCCAGTTCTCGACGGGTACGTCAGATACTCAGAGACCCTCAGCTTTAGGGACACTTCTGTGAGGCTAAGTAGGCTGGACAATACAAGGTTGGCTAGGCTTTTTGCTGTGCAAGTAACTAACTTGGAAAGTTATTTGTAAGTACAGCTATTCTAAAACGGGTTCATTTTCCTCTTCTGAGCTGCTTTCAAGTGACATATCTATATATAGGGAGAAGTAATCCCGTAACTGATCAGGGCAGAATTCTAGAGAGACTGTGCTCCCTGTATCGTGTTTGTGCATGTCTCCGAAAGGCTTAGTGTGTCGGCAGGTACAATACTGATAAGATTTGAAGCCCCCGTATCGTCGCCATCACATTTGCTGATGTATTGTTACAATTTGAAAAGTCGGAACCCGACTGCACAAAAGCGAACACTTCTGACTGTTAGCTAAACAGCTTTAGGGAAAGAAAAAAAAAAAAAAAAAAAAAAAAAAAAGTACTGTTTTTGTTTTTCCCTTGACTGGGTCAAATTACACACAACAGCTACAGCTACACAACGCACAGAAGAATAGCAGAACACGAGGACCACTTCGAGTTCTTGATGTGATGCCACCCATAGTTTTGCATTTCTTGGCAGTTTCCACGAATTGCTGGGCTTGCTGTCCTTTTAAAAGGTCTATAAATATTTTTTAATTATTCATCCCAAGCATAAGCAAATGCACAAAGCACCTCCACTTTTTAAGATAAATCTCATCTCCCGTGCTTTGAGATACAGAGCTCTCACAGGCTTTTTTTTTTTTTTTTTTTTTTTTTTTTTTTTTTTTTTTTTTTTTTCCCCCCCATTGGCATGGTGCAGAGGATTTGGCTTGATTTGCTCTGGTTTGGAAGCGCCAAACTGCCGGGAGCCGCTGCACGTTATCATGGCTTCTGGCTAAAATGAGCTAGATTCACTATAACAGAAGCAGACCTGATTTATGATTAATTTAAGTATTCTTTCGCTAATTTTTGGGCCAACGGTCTGTTTTGGTGATTTGTCAGAAAATAAATACATAAAACTCTCTTTCCTTTTCTAGGGCACATACACCTTAGCTAACTTGCCCTCCCGTGTCAAGTTTCATACAGGTTCAAGCTTCCGTCATTAGGGGTTTTAGGGGGGTGGTTTGTTTTTGCAAATTAATTGTCTGTGGAGTTAGAAATGTCAGTCACTCCACCAATGCATAAGGCAGAGGAGGCTGCAGCAGCTCCGATAGATCTGAGTGCTTGAATGGCCTTTGAAAGAGGGTTCATCACCCGCCCCCGCCCCCCACCTTCCCCTGTCCCACCAGCTTAGAGTCATCGTCTCTGCAGACTCCCTGCTTCCTACTCATGGGGATCCTGTTCCTCCCTTCCCCTTCCCTTACAGCAGAACCTATCTCTGCCAGACAGCCAGCTCTGCGGCCCCACGTCCACAAGCAGCCCGAGAAGACCACCCGAGTCCGGACTGTCCTTAATGAAAAACAGCTTCACACCTTGAGGACCTGCTATGCTGCCAACCCCAGACCTGACGCCCTCATGAAAGAGCAGCTAGTAGAAATGACTGGCCTCAGCCCGAGGGTCATCCGGGTTTGGTTTCAAAACAAGCGATGCAAGGACAAAAAAAGGAGCATTATGATGAAGCAACTTCAGCAGCAGCAACCCAATGACAAAACTGTAAGTGGCTTCAGCTTCTGTCCGTGTGTTGCCTTAATTCCCAAGGAGAAAGGCTTGATGTATGTCCAGCCGGACAGCACCAGTGCTCAGTTTGATGCTGTTAATTTTTTGCGATCTCCCTGAAGCAATGAAAACGATACCGTTTAGCCATTACCTGTTAGCTTCTGCTGTCAATGCAATCGAAACAGACCACAGCGAGGAGCCGATTTAGGCTTAGAATTGGTGGGACTAAGAATACACAGGAGCTTAGACTAACTTCTCTGCAGCATGAATGAGACCTACAGAGCTTATGGGATGTAATAAACCCGGTCTCATCTAATACTTAAACTGCAAATGCAAAGGACTCCTTAAGGAGAAAGTGATGCCTTTGCCCTCTTCCGTATTTTTTAAATACGAGTAAATCCACAAGTAAAAATAGTTAAAAAAAAAAAAAAAAAGTAAAAATAAGAGGTGTTTTTCTCAGCACTATATACTGCAAAGTGTGTGTGTTTATCAATGCACTTACTGCAGAAAAAGACAAATGCAATGCAAATTTTTACAGGTTTACAGGGTAATTTTGATATAGTTATATCTATGTAGAGCTCTTTTCCACAGATGCATGGGTGATGTAAACAAGTGAAATTCACTGGGCTCAACAGAACAAATTGTCTGTCTCCATTTTAGGCTAAATTTGTTTCATTTTATTGTTGTTGTAAGTCCACTTGAAGAAGAGTCTGTTACTCTCCCTGTGTATATTGACTGACCCGAGAACGACTATTAATTCATAAGGCTGCCTAGTTAAGTGGAATTTAAGGAGTTTCATTTTACCCTGCTGGAATGCAATAAAACACGGTGTTATTAACTCGCCTGAACAATCTATTCGTCGAGGCTTGGAGTTATGTTGGACACTGTGCCTGCACCACAGGGCATACTGAGAGAGGGCTGGGGTGGTCTTGTTTATTTGTTTATTTGTTTGGAGCTTTGTTTTTATTTTTATTTATTTTATTTTATTTTTTTTTTTAAAGAGCGCGGTAATGACGTACCCCAGGTCTGCCGTGCCCTGGATATACGATCCAGTTAAAACAAAACCAGACTGAATGCGAGCTATAGAAGGGAGCAGGATTACCCCTTTCTCGCTCTGAGACGTCCATTGGCAGTCGGGATACTGAGTGCTCGCGTTCAAGAGAGCTTGGGGCAGAGGGGGTATGCCTTGGGACGAATAGGAGGATTAAAGGGAAAGAAAGTAAACTTCCACCGTGATAAATGTAGCGAGTAGAAACAGGCTGACCTAGAGTAGAATAGAGTAAGACATTCACAGCAGATTAACAAAGCAAATACAAGCGACCGTATAGATAAGATAGAAAGCAGTTTATTGACTCAGCGGTTATATACAATAAAGCTAACCAAGCTCATTAACATCTTTTGCTGGGCTGTTTACAGAATATCCAAGGGATGACAGGAACTCCAATGGTGGCTGCTAGTCCGGAGAGACATGACGGCGGTTTGCAGGCGAACCCCGTGGAGGTGCAGAGTTACCAGCCGCCCTGGAAAGTACTGAGTGACTTCGCATTGCAGAGTGACATAGACCAACCTGCTTTTCAGCAACTAGTAAGTGTCGGTTCCCAGCCCGAGCCAGCCGGTACCCGGGTCAGAGCAATGGGCGATTCACTCCAGGTGCCAGATGCTCTCAGAGAGACAAGCAATGCAGATTAGCTGGGTTTTCCAGAAATTGCAAGGCAGGCATGACTGCATCTGTAAAAGCAGAGAACTGAATTGATTTCACAGAGCTTGGAGCAAAATCGACCTTAATGTAGAGCAGAGATATTTCTGAGTTGAGTGTGAGTTTGGATAAGGCCTGACTCAGGTCTGATAATAGATCGCACACTCCTGAAAACTGAAAGCACTTCACCAAGACATTCCTTATATGTCACTTAATTGTACTTACATTTGTGAAAACAGTTTCTAGAGTTCACCCCTCCCCACTTCAGGCTGATTTTGCCTTTATGTTGTAGGATTAATTTTAAATACGTTATTATAGTGTCAGCCATTGTCCTTGTTTTGTCAAATATGATCTCTTAATTAAGATTTCAAAGTCCGTGTCTTAAGCATGTATTTCTAGATATAACTTTATGTATCTTTATATACACATGAATCTATACATATATATATATATATATATCTTACATTAAGTGTTGTTCTTTGGAAAGGAATTTACTAGTACATATTTAGGTGAAAAATTCAAGCAATATAATAAACTACCTTAAGTCAAAATAAAAATAGACCTGTTAGAATAAATTCTTTCCTTAACTCACTTCCTTATGCCTACGTCCCTTGGCAGCCAATATCGGTCTATATCACCAACAATACTTAGGCCCAACAAGGTGAATTAAGGAGAGAAGTTCTTAAGTCAGTTTCCTGGCCTGAGTGTGTTAAAACCAGATCTTTAAAATAATAAGGTACGTTGTGTATAGTATTTCAGGGATGCAGAATAACAGTTACGAAAAATTAACATGCAAACATTTTTTTGATCTGTTGGGCTTTTTTTTTTCTTTTTTCTTTTTTCTTTTTTTCTTTTTTTCTTTTTTTTTTTTTTTTTTTATATACCAAGTGATGGAAGACAAAGGTTTGTAGCTGAATCTAGCACTGTGTTCAGACCTTTTCGGTTTAGTATCATGCCCTCCTGCAGCATCCCTTTTCTTTTGCCCAACAGCAGTCTGCAGTGTGCTCCCCTTGCTGGCACACTATGCTTGCTCAGGAAACAGTAGCACAGCAGCAGGGCTATTTGCATCCTCTTACATCTAAAGTAACCACTGCTTTAATCATGCTGTCCATCAGACGGTAGAAAAAATTATCTCCTTTAGTTGCTTTACTTACTGTGCCTTAACAAAATACGAGACTTTAAAAATCTTTGATGCAGTGAGATTTTGTATTAAATAGTTAAAGAAAAAGGAAAAAAGGGAAGGATGGAAGATGGATAGTCCAAATACACATACACATATAGGCAAATAGACCATTAGGTTAATAAATTAATATCGATATACGTTAGACATAATATGTGATACTGAAAAGAGTTAAAGAACAGTGGAAGGAACAGACTGTTTACTGGCCATTCAAGGCATGGATCTAATCTGGAAAGGGCCTTAATCACAGAATTGGCCAGCTAAATAGGTGCCAAAGAAATGCTTCTGGATTAACAAAGCTCCACCCTTCAAATCATGCCTTTTCCCAGCACTACTCCTAAACTAACGGGAGCAGCGGGGGCACGTTAGGATGGAATAGTGTGACCTTTTTTATCAAACAGACTCTCATTAAGAAGAGATAGCACCAGCCGTGAATCACGAATGAAAGAGGATGGCTGGTTTCAAATGCCTTCTGTTCCTGGATGCTCCTTCCAGGTTTATTTTGGTATGTGCACAAAAGGGGAAAAAAGTAATCTTTCAGTTTCATGTCAAGAAAACATATGCACTCCTAAATAATTGACTAGAACATCCTATTGGGATTGTCACTCTCACAAGACAGGAAAGAAGGCCTCATTAATAAGTTTGTTTGTTTATTTGCTTGATTTTTTCAGTCTTCTTTTTCCATTTTTTAAATCACTTTTTCTTGGTGATTTGGCCGAAGGCCTGAAGAAGGTTCCTGTGAAGTCAATGGGGAAGCTAAACAGAGCAACCAGCAGTGACACAGCCTCCTGTGGAGATGTATCAGGCCTATTGGCTGCATGCCTTGTATATTTATTTTTGTGTTCTTCTTTGCCTGCTACTTTTCTTTGAGTTTTACAGTTGTAGCAACAATTCTTTTTCTTATTTTTCTTCTTTTTTTTTTCTCTCTCTTTTTTTTTTCCTTTTTTTTTTTTTTTTTTTCTTTTTTTTTTCTTTTTGGCAGGTTAATTTTTCAGAAGGAGGACCTGGTTCCAATTCTACTGGAAGTGAAGTAGCATCAATGTCCTCACAGCTGCCAGATACACCCAACAGCATGGTAGCCAGTCCTATTGAGGCATGAGGAACATTCATTCAAATATCTGTTGTTGTTTCTGCCCTTACCCTCACCCCTGTTGAAGAGAGTGGCAAAGTGAACGTGTTGGGACTTCGAAATTTAGGGGGAAAGAATATTTAACAACTCTGTAACGAACCTAGCAAGAAACTGCTCCATGAGATGAACGGAGTCATATTTGAAAAGACAAGGTAATATGGTAGCAACACTGTGAAGACAATCATGGGATCTTACTAGAAAAAAAAATACTTAAAAGAACCGCAAACCCTGCGCTTTTCAAAGATCAGAGGAGTATCGAAAAGACGTTTTCCAAATATAAAGGATTTGTACTCGTGGATCTCAAAAAAAAAAAAAAAAAAGAAAATCTTTTCATTTGACTGCACATCTTAGGGAGAAACCAAGGTAGAGGGACTTTCTATCCAGTCCCTCCCATTCCGAATGGTGCTGTTTCTATATTGGGGATAGCCTTGCCAAAAGACGCTCCAGTAGGTTTTCCATCATCAGGAAAGAGACAATTCAGCCCTGCACTGTTGAAAGATTCCTTGCAGGAAGGTGGAGCTGCATTGGTTTGCAATGTTGTTTTTAGCTGACTCTTAACAAGGGGTTCTTTCCTGGGTCTCTTCTAGCATGCCTGTAGCGGGGTTTTGATTTTGTTTGGTTGAGATCCACCCCCTAATAAGTGTGATGCGATTAAAAATAGGTTTTTGAATTCCTCTTTAAAGGCGAATTTATAAAAACATTGCAACAAGGTATACCTCTATTTTGCCACAAAGCGTCTCGGGATTGTGTTTGAAATGTGTCTGCCCAAGAACCTTCCCCTTCCCCAGGGATGTGTATAGTCATTGGTTATAACGACTGTTTTTCTCTCTTTCCTTTCCTTTCTCTTTCTCTCTCACTCTCTAGAAAAAAAAAAAAATAGGGAAAAAAGTAAAAAAAGAAAAAAATAGGAAAAGTAAAAAGAAAAAAAAAATCACTCCTTTTGTTTGCTCTTGCATTGCAAAATTATAAAGTAATTTATTATTTATTATCGGAAAACTTGCCACTTTTCATGTCAGTTGACTATTTTTTTGTTTGCTGAAGTAAAAAAGAAAAAAAAAAAAAAAGAAAAGGTTGTACCGTGGTCTTTGAATTATATGTCTAATTCTATGTGTTTTTGTCCTTTTTCTTTCCTTAAATATGATGTGAAATAAAAGCGCCATATGTAGAATTATTATATCTTCAGGACTATTTCACTAGATAAGCGTTTGGAATAGAAAAATAATAATAATAATAATAATATTAATAATAATATTAACATTAAATAATGAACAAAGTTCCCTCTTTTAAATATTTACAGGTTAGCAGCTAAAATACCTGAAATAAAATATTGCATGCAAAGCCGGTCGTTAGTGAATAAAAGGAGTGTGATATTTTATTGCAAGTATTAACGACCAGCTTGTAAATTTCCGTTTCAACAACTGTATCAGGGCTAGTTGGATGCCTTAGCTTTCAATCAATAACGTTAGAAAGTCTCTTGTTCCCCCACCCCATCCTTTGCCCTTAAAAGTGATATTACTCTAGGCATGATCAGACATAACGTTAAAACATCTAAAGAACTGAGAGCTCAGGCTTTTTGCTGAGTTCTGCTATTTTTAAAAAATAATAAAAAGAAAGTGCTGTATACCAAAGCCTCGTTGTTGAGATTGTTGAAGTGACCTGTACTTTAAGTATAAGCTCCCGATAAAAAGGGACGCTTTTTGCTTAACAAGTCAAGTATGACCATTATTTATCAATGTCTGCTGTCAAAACAATTGAATAATGCTGCAGGAGGAATAGTTGTGGGGATATTTCTGTCGGGGATATTGCTGTGAAATTGCACGAATATGTTCCTTATTTTCTGTCGACTTCCCTCTCTTCACTCCCTCTTTTCTTCCTTTTTTAATTTGTGGGGGAGAGGGTGGTGAAAGCTAGAAACGTGGGCGATTTCTTGGGGAAAAGTAGAAAGAAGTAAACAAAAAAAAAAAATGGGAAAGGGTTGTTTTTGCTCCAATCCAAGTGCTCCCTAGTGCTCCCGGGCAGCACAAGACAAAGGTTCACTTTAAAACACCCTTAAGGACTGGAACATACAGAGATTTTCAGTCTGACAAAGACAAGTTGGTTTGCATGTCAGTTACTCCAAACCCCAATGTTTTCTTAACATAACCTTCTTTTCCCTCCCTCCTCACCATCTCAGCCCACCCTGAGCAAGCTCAGCTATAGACAAACCATTTCGACAGTAACAGAGAACATTAAAAAAATGTTAAAATCTAATACAAGGATTTCAGTCATCCTGATTAGAAACTGGATTCATTTTGTATGCTCAAGTGTAATACATTTTTGAGTACTTGATAAATATTTAAATAAATATGAAATCTACCTTAAACTGTGTGATCAGTAACCCTTGTGTTTTCATGCAGGATCAGAGGATTGGTACGGCGCTTCGGGGGGCGGGAGGGAGAAGGGGTATAATTTCTGCCCGGTGGTCTGACGTGTAAGTTGTTGGAGTCGCTCTTACTTGGGTGAGTTTGGAGACGGAGTCTCCGACTCGGGAGGGTCTGTAAGCGGCGCTGGAAATCTGTAAGGGCAGGGCAAGCTGTGGCGCTTTGCGCTCCCCCTCGCCGCCGGGAGGCTAAGGTGTGGTGGAAGGAGCGGCGGCTCCGCGGGCGAGACGGGGTCACGCAGGGCGGGGGGGACCCCCAGAGAGCGTAACCTGGGCACCGGGGGGCTGCCCCTCTGTCCCCCGCCCCCGAGAAGGACCTTCGGGAGCCTCCGAGGGCCACGCAGGAGGGAAGGGCGACTTTGCACTGTCGGTCCTTGCGAGGGAAAGGCCCCCCAGCCCTGCTAGGCGCCCCGCGGTCCCGGCGCGCCCTCCGGGCGGCTGTGGCAGCCGTCGAGATAAGCAGCCCGTCGGGAGGCAGGGGCTGACATTTGGGCTGCCAGCACAGCGTCTTGCACCCTGAAACGCCCAGGGCAGCAGCGTGTGCTTGGAGCCGGAGCGCTGCGGCCGCTCTCCTGCAGCTGCGGGCCGGAAGCCCACTCGGGATGTGCCTGCACGCACACCTATCTCTAGGCTCCTGCCTGCACCCCCGAGGCAGCCTGAGACCCCCAACCCTGTTCCGGGGGAGTAGGGAGAGTGGGGTTGTCTCTGCGGCGGCCACTCTGGGGTCCCCGTGTCCCCACGGCCACTGCGGCCCCCGCGCCCGCGGTCATCCCGGAATATCCGCGCTCGAAACTCCGGTTAAACAATACTAGTCTGATTTTCAGAGGTTTTTTTCCTTTCATGGCCTTTGGGTCCTTTCTTCATTACATGCATTTGTGAGGCCCCACAAACTATCGAGTGTTTTCCACTATGAAGCAAATAAAGAAAAACTTTCGAGCGGATCCTCCTAGTGCCTCCGGCAGAACACTTCCTGAGCTTGGGCAGCAGGATTTGTGTAAGCGAGAGAAAAGATCCTCTCCATGAAATGCACGTCCTTATGGTGCTCTGTCAGGTCTGTGCTCTGATTCCCCTTTCCGGTACGGACCGAGGGTGGCGATTAGCAGTCCCAGAAAACCGCTTTCTTGCTGCAGCTACTCTTAATAGTGTCAAATAATCTCGCTATGATTTCTCTGAGGGCTTTGTTTGCACACACTGAGATCAATATTCAAACTCTTCTCATTTCAATATTTGTACCCAGGTTAATTAGCTCTCAGCATCCCCAGCCAACGTGGCAGTGTGACGCGGAAGCCTGGTACGTGAATTCCAGAGTTGAGATCAGTTAAACACCTCAACAGTAAGTGTTTGCATTTATATACATCTATGCATACATATATTAACAAATTCACCTTGGGTTACCTAAGAACGGATGCCAAGGAAGGAACTGGGGGCCCTCAGGCGATGCCAGCAGTCAGGCCCCAGAATCCCCAGCCCCAGCACAGCTCCCGGGACGGAGCCGGGGAGGGGTAAGGGTCTGTGGTGCCGAGTGGGTTTCACGGGCACTGGTCCTCCCTGGCCCTCCCTACACGCCCGAAACGCCGAAAGCGTTTTACGGTGAGAGATGCCGCTGCTGGGCGCTTTGCGTGCTTTAGCGGAGCTGTAAGTAGTTAATAAAGGGGCTGGAAAGAGATCCTGTTTACTGATTGTTCCTGATTGTTGTTTTCTTGATAACAGAGCAAGCCACTGAATGACTGTTTGAGCTCAGGCGCCACAAACATAAACTTAACAGCTCCCAGTGTGCCGGCCCTTCTGGAGGATCACTCCTCACCTCCCAGGGCTTGTGAAGTGCAGGAGGAGAAGGCAGCTCCCAAGGAAGCAGACTCCGGGGTGATGGGGGTGGTGGTGGTGGGGAGCGGAGAAAACTCGCCTGTATACCCGATCTTTCCATATGACACGGTATCTGCTTTCATTAGCTAGGGGCTAATGAAAGCGTACAAAATCAATAGGTACTTTTCTCCGAGCCTCCTACCCGTGCCGGAGCTCGGGGCAGGCTCTGGATGCCGCCCTGCGCAGCATCCCAGCCGAGAGATGCTGCTTTGTATTACATCACGCTGCAGTATCCTGTGAATCTCCTTAAATTGTCTTGCAGCGGCTGAGGCCCACCAAACAAGTGCTTGCTGTAGGCCGGGGAGGGGGCTCGAAGGAGACAAGGAGGGCGCGCAGTCTCTCCGCGGCAGATCCCGCCGCTCCGGACCGGTTCTCCCGGGATCCGCAGCTCCGGGGCAGCATCTCCAGCGGGAGTCCCGGCCGCACTCCGCCGCGGCTGCCGCTGGATGAGCCACCTGCAGCCCCGGCTCTTTTCTGGGGTGTGAGGCGCGGGAAGGAAGGAGGAAGATTGCAAAACAGCATTTTTTTTTTTTTTTTTTTTTTTTCTGGAGTGTCTCTTCTTCTTTGTTTTATCTTCTTCTGAAAGACAAAACAGTGGTAAAGGTGTTTTTGCGGGAAAGAGAGAGGACACGAAATTTTCTGGAAGTGGCACGGGCCAAAGCACATCTCGGCTTCTATCTCCGGGCAGACCTCGTGTGGCAATGGGAAGAGGAAAATAGGGTGTTACTGTGGCTTTTCTTTAGGAGGGCTGTTCAGGTCGGTAGATCTCCAAGGCTAATCCAAACAAGCCGTTTGACTTGTGAGGTCCGGTGTCTAGACATAGCTGGTGACTCGGCGGCTCCTTATCTGGTTTTGGAATCAGCCAAAAGAGACTTTTTAATGTCCACAGCAGCACTAGGATCTGCCGGGGCCGGGGAGCCACTGCACCTCCCAGACAGGACAACAAATACACCCACCACCTGGAGGCTTTACAGCCCACTTTGTTGTTCCCGAGCCGCCACTGCTGCTCCCCCAGCCC